TGTTAACTTTTCCCTTTGATTTCAAAATCTCGAGGACTTTGCATTGCTTTTTTTATTCCCCTTAACCTTAACATTACATGATTCTAATTCCTCAATTTTCTTCAACAATAGACATTAAATATTTCTCCTTCGATTCTCGATTCTAATTCTCGATTTATGTGTTCATACTGTTACATGGTCATCGAATGTTTTCCAACCATCTTTTCACTTTATCAGTTTTTTAACCAATCATATGATCTTCGATTTTTTTTCTTTCCTTCATTTTTGCGATCTTAGTATCGATTTTGCGATCCTAGTATCGATTTTTCTTTTACTAACAACTTGGAAGCAAATATTAATTGATTGACCTATTGGACATTTTTAAATACTTTTTGAACATTGTTTTTTTCTATATAGAATAAGTGTTTACTATGACACTTTATACAGAACAAAAAAAAAAAGCTATTAGAAGTTACAAATTGTTACACGATTTTTTATTTTATTTTTCAGTTATGTGAATGTTGTCAAATGTAACATTTATCTAACATGAATGGTATTTAAGTATTATACTGAAGAATAATTTTAAGGAAGTCATTTTTTTTTCATTACATTTTATATTTTGTAATGATTTAAACAAATAAATAACTTTTAATTGGTATATTAATAATGTGTTTGCGTGGATAATTTATACAATATTTTTTCCTCATTTTTAATTTCATCAAATTATTAAATTTATTGGCAAATTTATCTTTTTTTTTTTAAATTGAGTTAACGTTATTTTCCCATCAATACAAAATAATGGAAAATATTATGTATTATTAATATGTCATATTATTTATATTATTATTGTGTGATTGATCTAAAACTGGCATATACATAAGTAACACGTCGAGGTCATATTAATAAATATAATTAATGTAATCTTATTTATTACGATGACGTTAATTATATATGTAGTGTCATATTATATTCTTTAGTCACTTCGTTATATAACTAAATTGGTATTTGAAAATTAAAGAGAAAAAAAACAAAAGAATAATGATAAGAAAAATATTATTTAAAATTATTATCCATATAAATTTTTAAATAATAAGTAGAAATTTATAAAACAGTTTATTTCATCAAGTAAAATAATTTCAATTTTATTAAGAAAATAAAAATTGATTTTTTATTTTATTTTCATGATTTGCAATGTATGTTGAAATAATAATATATTTAAATTAATAAATGTTTTCAGTCAAGTTTTACAGTAATTATTTATCCAATATTAATTATGAGAATTTTTTAACCGACATTAATAAAAAAATATAAAAAAATGTTAAAAAATAATCTTAATTAATTTAAATTTAAATAATGGTGATAAAAATAGTTAAAGTAATTTGAATTATTGTCAACAGTGGGAAAACCCAGTCAATATTGACAGAACTATATTAAAGAGTTAAAAAAAAATATTGATTAAAAATATTTTTAAATGATATTTTTATTTAAATATTATTTGATATTAAAATTAATAAAATATTATGTCAAGAATAAACTAAAATTTAATAAGTTAGTTTATTTTATCGAACATAACACTTTAAAAAATAATTTAATTTGACTATATTTGAATTTCTTCTCAGCCTCAAATTCGGAAACACTTACCATATTTTTCTTCAAAGTCAATATTTCTAACAGATTATTTATATATATATATATATATATATATATATATATATATATATATATATATATATATATATGATGTAAAGAATAAATGTTGAATTAATATTTAAAGATGAAATTATCTATATGCTATTTTATTTTATTTTTCTTATTATCACACTTATTTTTTTAATCTGAAATGTGACAGATAAATAATATAATAATCATAAATAAATATAATTTTTAAATTAATTTTATAAAATTAAGTTAAGTATTTATATATTAATTATAATAATTTAATAAGAGAGATATTATAAAAAATCTTCTTTAAATACAAAGAAAAATATAAATATTTCTTCACAATATGAGAAGGTATCTTACCAATTTTTCTAATGGCACAACTTTATTTAAAGAATAATGATTATTTAAAAAAACCATCCTTTAAATGTACATACATAATATTTTATGTATATTATAATATAATATTTATAATCCTGAATATTTAACAATAATAAAATTAGGTGCATATTTCATTTATAATTTCTTAGAATCTTTAATATAATAATTTTGAGTAAATTCATAAGTCTTATGTTATTTAAAATCAAAATAAATGATGATTTATATATTTTTCTTTTATTAATCTGTATTTTTTAAAGAAAATTATTAATGACTAAAATTTAAAAATTAATAATATTTTGAATATGAGAATTTACCCTAATAATATATATAAGATTATGACATCATCATTTTTATATAGAATATTGGTGTCTATAATAGATCATGAACATAAACTCTAAGTTAAAAACTAAGGGATATTAATAAAGTGAGATTTTTCTCTCAGCTCATTAATAAACTTTTTAATGACAAAATTGTGATAGACTATAATTTCGTTATAAATGACATTCTGAATATGAGAATTAATCCATAATCTTTATTTTATTTTATTTTAATATATGAATCTTTTTTTTAATTGGGCTAACTTGGCGAATTTACGGACTAAGTCGAACAAACAAAAATAAGTTTATGGATTAAAATCACCAATCCGATCCTGTCATTTTTAAGATGGACCGACCTATCATATCTAATCTGTTTATCATAATTTCAATTTATGAGAGTGAAAGGTAATAAAGAATAACTTGTTTGAATGCTCCAAGAAACAACTAATAAATAATTGCAAGGATGCTTAAGTCTAAATTGATTTATATTACAAATGTATGAATATGTTGATTAAACATTTCTTAAAAATAAAAATATGATCAAACATTAATAGTACAACATTTCTTAATATGTTGTTATTGAAATGTATGTTGATTCATGACCAACTATCGAATCAAAGATATCAACTTGAATAGTTTGTTCTCCAACTTCTAATTATTGATGTTTATTATTGGGCTTGGTTGTACTGCATGGACTGATTTAACAAACGTTTGAGTACTAAATTGTTGGAAATTCTCCGCCATATTATAAATCAAGACTTGTGCGACTTCAGATGTCTTATCCATTAAAGCACCTCCACTTACTGCATTTTTTTCATCGCCATCGATCCTTCATAGAAGTACTGGATTGTTCATTTATCTGATGGTTTGGGCAAGTGACACATAGTTTGGTGAACTTGTTCCAATATTTATGTAGAGACTCCTTTGTAGTTCTCAAATCCCACTAATTTCCTTTATAATGATAGCGATCCTTAAGGCTAAAAAGAATTTATTCAAGAATCTCTTTTTCAAGTCTGTCAAAGTCGTGATTAGTGTCAATTGAAGGTACAACCAATCATTTATTGTGTTACACAATCAGAATGAAAAAACCTTCAGTTTAACATAGTCTTATGCAACACTCATTGGTTTCATTGTGAAGCATATTACATATAACTCCCTCATATGCTTGGTGGGATCTTCTATTGGTAGTCCATGGAAATTGGGTAAGAGATAAATCAGATTGGACTTTAGTTTAAATTCAGCAGCTCCTACGTCTAGTTGAGAAAGTTGAATACAAATTGGTTGATGAGATATATCTTGTACAACAAACTCCTTCAAGATTCTTTCTCAATTAGGATGTCATTTGAAATGTTTGTGCAAATGGAATTTTTAACTGCTTCTCTCTTTCTCTCTTATAGTTACCTCCACCTCTTTAATCTCCTAGTAATTTTGATTTTAGGAATAGAAATAATAGATCGTGAATAAGTACACTAAGTAAGTTTTTAGGAAAGAGAGGTAAGTCACTAATGAATACATACTAAGTCTTTTCTAGTCAAAACCCTCTCGGACATGCACTCTCGTATTACCAAACCATATCCAAAATTTCTTACAATGGTGATTATCGTGAATTTTATGAGATTTGTTATCGAGAATTTTACGTGAAAATGGTTAGGAAGCACATAAAAACATATCATAATTTTTTTTTAGTTTTTATTTTATTTTTTAAAATTTTAAATAAAGTTAGAAAAATAAAATTAGAAAAAATATTAAATTATTATAAAATAAAATAAAGTTTAAAGATATCTATAATTTGTATATAAATTAATTTAATTTATATAAATTTGTATTTTTTCCAAAATAATTATTTTATATTAAATTATATTTTAATTTTAATTTATATATATTTGTATTAATGTTTTTAATAATATTTTGGTTATTTATTATTTTATCTTATTTTTTTAATCAAATAAAACAATCTTATCTTCTATTTGTATTTATTTATTTATTTCACTTTTGACCCTCTTTTCCTTAACTCAAAAATCTCACGTAGTTTTATTTTTTCTTTTTCACTCTCACTGTTTACATTCCAAGTATATGAAACCTCCAATTTAATTTTATAATTGAAATAAATTAAAATATCAAAATATAATTTAATATTTTGATTTTATAATAAAATGTAATTTAACCTATCTATAAAAATAATAAATTATATTATATAAAAATTTGTTTAAAACAAAAGACGATATTTTTTTTAAATTATTTATGTCGTAACATATTATACTATACTATATTATATTATATTATATTAAAAGATCCTTCAGCCTTAATATTATTATTATTATTTAATAATAAAAAACTTATCTTTTAAGTCTCATATAATTTCTATTTAATTAAATTTATATTTTTTTCAGAATAACATTTAAAAATTTAATAATTATATATTACTAAAGAATAAAACATTAAATAAAACCAGAAACATAGGGAGGTGAAAATAGTCATATGAAAAGCTTAAGGAATAATATTGTAATTTTCTCTTTTGAGAATTAATTTACTTATTTTCCGTGGTGGGAGGACTTGGCGGGAAAATTGTCACTATTTCAATTTAATTTAATTTTGGGTTTCGGTTAATCTCTTTGAAACCTTGAATTCTTGAGGCGTGGTTGCTTTTGGACTCAGAAGAAGAAGATGGCGGCGTCGAATTACGAATACCCAAGGCTCCAGCGCCCGGAAATAGTTGCAATCTTAGCGCAGTTCCAGATCGCTAACGTCACCGAGCAGGACCTCTCCAAACCCAACCCTGACTTCATCTCCGACCTCTACAGCCGCGTTCTCTTACATCTCGGCGTTCCCCACGAGTATCTCTCTGTCTCTCTGTTCTATCTTCGTGTCTTCTTCATCGCTACATTCCTCACTTTCCTTCTTCCTTTTCCGCAGGGAAGACAACGGGCAACTTGACTTCGACGCCCTAGAGCATCTTGAAAACCCCGATTTCCATGTCGAATCCGTTAGCGTCATCAAACTCTTCAACAAGATCAAGGAGGTTCTCACCGACATTGAGTGCCCTCGCAAATTCACCTTTGGTGATCTCCTCCTGCCGGATCCTCACCGGACTGACATCTTCCTCGGCGCTCTTCTCAATTTCTTCCTCGACAGGTTAGTCTCATAGCTTCGTCGCTCGATTAAGAGAAAAGCTAATTGTCGTTCGTGGATCCAGGGACGCGAGAATGAACACCGTGTCGGAGATCGTGAACGAATTTAATGCTCTGGAGGTGCAGCAAGCGGAGTTGGAGAACGAGATTTTGGAGGTCTGTGTTGGATCACATCATATCTCATATCAATTCAAACTCGTTTGAACTGAGTGAGTGGTTTTGTTGCAGTTGAAACGGGAGATTGCGGAATGCAATGAGGCGAGAGAGAGGGAGATGCCTCTTGTTCAGGAGGTGGAGGCGAAAGTTAACGAGCTGAAGCAATCGATTGCGGCGCTGAACAACAACCAGAGTTCGTTGAGGAGTACTTGGAGGAAGTTGAAGGATAGGACTGGGGAAATGGATCAGAAGGTCAGTGATTATTTACCATCTAATGCTCTGGTGCCAATAATGGAAGCTCAGTTGTTGAATCATATATGCCTTTATGTTGGTGATTTTGGATGGTGTGTGAAAGAAACAACGGTAGAGGAATAAAAGGGTTTGAACTAATTTGCATAGACTTGCAGAGCTGCATCTTTGTACAATGTAACACGTGAGTGTATTGTGAGCTGCATTTTGTGGAAAATATGGATTTGAGATGTTCTTTTTCTACTTGTAACAGTCAGCAATTAATGCTTTAAACGGACTAGTTATGTTTAATTGGATACATCTGTTTCTACCTTTGTGTAGAGTGTAGAGATTGGGCATAGTTTTGGTTTTAATTATTTGAGGCTGTGTAGGTCTTCACTCTTGTGCATATTACATTGTGGCCTGACTGTTTAACCGTTGTTTATGGTTTGGTGTTGAGGTTCCTTCCTTGGTCTATTTACTTCAACCCCCATATGTTCTAAAAGTTTGACTTCATTCTGCATAGATTATATCAATACTTATTCTTCCTATTTTACTTTTTCGTAGCCCAGATTTCTAATGCTGAATTTACGTTGGTACAAAATGTTCAAGAAAATGCAAATCTACGTTCAAAAATCGCTCAATCACCTGATAAAGTGCAGGTATTTTATTTTTTTAATATTTGGTTGACCATAGTAATTAGTAGCACTTGGCATCCAAATTCAGTCATGTTTTTATTTGTTCTTATATTCTAATCATAATCATAGTTAATTGCTTTTAATTGTGTTTTTTGCTACAAAATTGTGACATACTTTGCGTTTCCCCGACCAATTTGCTTGTATGAATATTATATTGGCGATTATTTGACTACCTTTCCCTGCAGTTCATAGCTGATCTGCTACTAGTTTTGGAGAACATTTCAGTTTTAGACTGTTGCCCTTTCCCTGCAGTTCGTTATGGATTTTGACTATTGTGGGAAAAGATTCTATTGTAATGCTTGGTTTAGATGTTTTTTCTCTTTGAGAGAGTTCTGGAAATTTTACTCTGCCAGTACTTTGTAAATTTACTCCTCTGACTTGCCATGAAGAGAGCTTTAGAGGAAAAGAAATTGGCGCGAGAAGAGGCAAGGAATGCTGAAAGATTAGCAATGCAAGCTTATCACGAGAAGACTGCCCTTGTTGAAGTTTTTTCCAAGGTATTTTATCGCAGACTGGATCTTTTTTCTCACTCCCTTCATCTGCAGTTTAGGTCAATGTAAAGTACTCTTGTATTATTACACATCTATGCAATCTTTGCATATGAAGACTGCACTTGGTTCAGTTTATTTCGAGGAATTTTTGTTGCAGACTAGGTCTATTCTTAACCCCCTTTCATCCGCAATTGACTATAATGATAGTGACTTTCTATTTTAATTTACTTATGGAGTTATTTGTTTGGAACAATGTAGAGAAAAGTTTTTAATTGAAAGGACAGTAGAAGCCGGAGGGAAAGGAATTTTTGTTTATAAATGTCAACTTTTCTTTATCATTTCCTCTCACTTTCTTTCTAACCAACAAGAGAAAATATATCATTATCTGTATTTTTTCTTCTCCATTTTAAATTCCAACATAATTTTAAATTTTGTGCAGCCTCGACCTATTGAGTTGTAGGGCACATGTATTAACTGAACTGAGTAGTCAATTAGTTGTTGCCTTCGCTGAAACTGGGTTGGGCTTAGGCAAGCTTAAGCGTCCCTTGTATTGTGACAGGTGGAATTTCCATGGATACTTTGTTCAATCTTTAATATCTACAATACTAAAATAGTTTTATGCATTGGGATTCTGGTCATGTGCTGATAATTTCAGAAAGAAATAAAATGTAAGAGCTCTAACGCATGGATCAATTCATGATGTTTTGGTCCTCGAGTGTTGATCACTTTATCGTTTATCATTCTCTTAGGTATACAAGAAAATGTCAAAACACTGCAAGTTGATGCAGGATATACAGGAACAGGTAACACACTCTGGTCAGTTGACTTATGCTCTGGCATTTATCATCATGATTGAAAAATTACTGGGGCATAAGCATTCTTTTTTACGGGGCTTATAATTCAAGTGGTTAGAGATATGAGATCTATTATGGACTTCTTCACATTTCTGCAAAGATTATTATCATGCAAAACCTTGTTTCATGTCTGTTGAGTCTTCTATAGGTAAATTCTGGTAAATCTATTGAAAAGGATCTTAAAGCATTGAAAGCTAAATTTAGCGATGAAGAAATGTTGGAGAAGTCACTTGAGGCCAGATTGGTTGAAAGACAAAGTAAAGGTACATTCTAGTGCAAACAATGCGGTGTTTCCATAGATGGTTTAACCGTTTTAGCATGAGTAATGATAAAATTTAGGAAAGGAAGTCTACAAAATAAACTTTTCAGCAGTAATCTGGCATGATTTTTGTTCAATAATTTTGTTTTTGTTTTTTTTTTCTTTTAAATAGCATTTGCTTACCGAAAAGCAGCACAACTGTACGTCATATTGTTTTAGTGATTTTTGTCGAAAACTTTCTTGCTACATAGAACTGCTCTTTAAGGATGCATATTTGTTGTGTTTTACCTTCAATCCTTTCGACTTTTTTTCCTTCCCTAGTTGAGCAGATGGAAGAACTGATGAAACAGTCGGAGAAAGAGTGCAGTATTATGTGGGAAGAAGCAACTAGATATTTAAGGAGTATAAAATCAGAGGTGGAATCTAAGAGTTCTACTACAGAAGCAAGGCAGAGAAATGTTGAGAATGTGCTATCTGAGGTTGCATTTTTTATGTTTCATGATAAATGGATTATTTTTTATGAAAGAATAAATTGTTATTTGTTACCTGCTATTGACAGGCGGATGCCATAAATAGTAAAATTGCATCAGTAAAAGAATCTGCAGCAGTTGAAGTGGAACGGTTAAGCCGCAAATGTGAAGAGTTAGTTGAAGCGGTAATATGCCATTAATTATATTAAGGAGATCTGTGATCTAATGACCATTCTTGGCATAAAAATCTTCAAATTGTACCCCTAATTCCTCCATTGAAGAGAATATTTAGAAGTTTCTTAAGTTGACCAATACGCTTACATCTTTCACGTGGATACTATTATTTTACTGTTTAATTTTTGTGATGTGGCTAGCTTGAATCCTTGCTCCTAACTTGAAACCTTGCATGATAATCCGTGTTTTGCTTATTGTTACAGTGAATGAGAATTAATTGAACTATCGCGTTTCGATTCTTGCAGTTTCACAAGTACGCAAATCCGATTGCAGATATGATTGAATCTGGGCAAAAGAGATTGAAGGCCACTCAAGGAGGTGGATCTGACATTTCAGTTTCGGTTTGACGATTTCCTTGGTCTGCATAGTAGGGGGTACATGTAAGCATAAGAAATCCTTAAAATTCTTTGTTATGGTTATGTATATTTGCTATTCATAATATATTATTCTATTTGATATTTATGTTTTCTTTTTTCGCTTAAATCTATTTAATGTTTATTAATCATCTAATGCTCAACTATAACTTTATTTCGCAGTTATATTTAATTAATTTAACTTATGTTTTAGCTTGTGCCAATTAGGATAAAAGTTTATTTGTGATGGTTTTAATGATCTTAGTTACTAAAAAAATATACATCTTCAGAAATAACATTGTTTTTGTCTCAATGATTCCAAAAAGGGAATTACAACAAAGTTACTGAAGAATAAACATACAAATACTATTATAATAAATTTATTCCTGTAGTTCAGAAGCATTTTCATCACTTTTATTATCATCGATTTTGATATAATAAACATTATCATTATAATTCCAAATCTAAGATAAAAAAATAAGGGTAAACTAATTATTAAAAAAAATAGTTTCATAATAAAAGTATTTTCTAACATTAATGTATTGTGAATCAATATATTTTTATCATATCTTAATATATCACTTTCATCTATTATAATAAATTTTAGAATACTTGATACGAAGTTTCAAAGATAAATATTGCTCCATTTATTAGAATTTCAATGTTAGGATTATTGTCGTTACTTTTATGCTCAAACTAAAATTTTTAAACAACGCAGAGTGGATATATATTTCAAAATATGATGTTACCAATCTCTTGTTAATTAAAATTTGTCTGTGATTGAATTTATTAATTTTAGTTATCAAACTTATATAATTCTAATAAAATTTGGAGTAGACGGTTGCCTTACATGATTGATTTGTTATTTTATTGCGAACTACAAATTTTAAACTCAATTTAATTTATTATAAGTTTATGAGTTCACTCACTATCTTACATTTTTTTTCTAATAAGTAAGATTGAGTTGCTAGATTGAAACACAATGATGTGGTGATACAGTAAATGCTACAATACAATTAAAATGTGAGAAACGTTTAATGTGGTGGTGTCACAAACATTGTGACAAGATAGTAGTGTTGACATAATAAAAGTAATGATAGAACTTAAACACGATAAATGCTGTAATATAATTGAAATACATTGGTGTGATAAATGTAATAAATAAGTAACATAGTGGTGCAGGGGAAGGATAACAAGTGATCTAGGTGCAATAATGAAAGTAATGATGTAATGAATAATTAATAATTTAATAATAAATTTGAGTAAGAGTTTGACTTATAGTAATGATATAAAATAGATATAAAAAATAAAAAATAACAAAATAAGATTATTAAATTATTATAATTATTTTAAAATTTAAAATAAATAATAGGTTAAGTGAATAAAAAAACCTGGTTTAAAATAGATTAGTTGATAACTTACCACTCGTGTTAACATCTCTATATATCTCTATCATATTATCTACTAATTCTAAGTAACTACGCATGTCTTTTTCATATTATCTACTAATTTTAGGTCATAATTTTAGGCAAATTGTCAATTATGTATAAACATTCGTTCAACTTTGTAAAAATATAAATTAATCAATTTCATATCACATATAATCACTTCTCAGTTGTATTCTTTCAAAACAGAATTGCATCCCTTTAGAGGTGTAATGTCAATTTAACTTATTTGGTTCAGTCTCTTTCACCCGTGGGAAACAACCTCTTGCTTGATTAATAATTGGTTTCTTAAACAAATTGCTATTGTTTTCACAAACTCTTCAAGTAAAAAATAACATTAACATGGTGCACCCTTATTTATTGATTTTAGAAATAAATAATATATTATTAATAAATAATAAATAAATAATATATTATTAATAAATAATAAATAAATATAAAAGATAAAAAAATAAAATAACAAAATTATAAAAAAATATATTTAATGATTTTTAAATTTGAAGATTAAAATTATAAATATATATAAAAGTTACCCAATTATGGAAACATGACCGAATGTACATCCCTCAATTTCCCATAGATCCATAAGTGATAATATCATTCTTTATAAAGATCAAAATTAAACTGCGACCATCACCCTCAGTCTCAAGAAGTTCCATCACTCAATTCTCCATACATCCATAAGTGATAATATATTTTTTATAAAGATCAAAATTACTAAGCCCATGAACATTTTACAACTACCCATCATTTGATTCTTAAGGTGAAACATGAGAAATTACTTAAAATATTGGTAAGATATTAGTATTTCCTTTTATTTCATAGTAATATTTCAACTTCTATTAATAAGCTATTTTTATAATTTGACTTTTAAAATTAAAAAACTGAAAACTATTTTTAAAAACAATAAATCAACATGATCTTAAAAGTTTGAATATTGAACCTTTACAATTTTAAAAAATAAGTTATAAAGATAAAAAAAAGGATTAGGCGATTTCTAAATTTAGGATTATATTTTTACTCACTTTTAACTTTTCTAATCTTGATCTTTCTAATTATAAATTTTGATTTATCTTAAATTTATTATTTTATTTAATATATTATTCAATCACTTTTTACTTATTATTAAGGATGTTCAAAATTAAATGGATAAATAAATAATTAGAAAAGGATAAAAAATTAAATATTAATTATTTTTTATCTATTTTTTCAACCATTTTATTTGGTCCGTATTTTAGATTAGAAATTATGTATAATATTATATATTTAAAATTAATTATCAATCAACAAACACACATATTTTTTTGAAAATTATTTTATAATTGATCTGTATTTTATTTATAATATATTTATAGTTATTAAATATATTATAGTAACTTTAGATAAAAAAATTAATTATAAAAGTATAAAAAATTAAAATAGTAAATATAATAATAATAATCGTACAACAAAAATTATATAATATATTTCTGTGTGACAGTCTTGTCTCTTTTCGAAATAAGTCAAGTAACTTGGATATAAAAAAAAAAATTTATATATGTTACACATCTTTTTAGCCATTAAATGTCAAAAGAAATTCCTTATCCATTTTCCTTTAAGTTTATTTAATATTTAAATTCATATTAAGCATTATTAAATAATATTCTACAATTCCTGGTCCACAAAATTAAACAATACAGTAATTTAAAATTTCATAAACTTGAACAAAAGTTAATGAAACATAACTGAAGTTTGTGGAATTAATTACTACCAATAATATGTATCAATCAACAATTAGCAACAAATCATAATTCAGAATACAATTATAATGAGTATGGAAAGGTCATAAATTCTCCTTTCAAAAGTTAGAGTTGATGTATCTCCCAAGAAGATTCACAAAATCATGGTAAAAGTTATAGTTTTTCCTGGATTTACATGCCCGAAGAAACCAACCCTTTTCTCTTTATATTCAGTTTAAAACTTGAACGAGTCTATCTCAGTTATCTAATACGAATTGACAACAATGGTGGCAGTAGCAGCACTAACTTCATTCAACCCTCCTCAAAACCCAGCATCAGCATGGCGTCGCACCCTATTGCCCCCAAACGCTGCGTTTTGCTCTCCCCTTCTCAAGAAGAAGAACAAGCCAATGTCTTGGTCATTTTGTGCTCACTCCTTGCCTTTCGACCTCTCTCCTCCTCCTATCGACCATGACTTTCTGGTAATTTTCCAACACTTCTAAGCTCTCTTTCTCGTTTCTTGCTTTGCACGCTTATCAGTAGCTCCGTCGCGGTAGCGGCGTATCCGTGACGTTCCGTAATATGACGAACAAGTGGTCAGGGTAGGGGATTTTGAGAGGCTTTTCTAGTGGCTTGAATTGCTGATCAAACCCAGAAAAAAAGGTTTTCCTGCGAATCCTTCTATTTTCCCGGGGAGTTTTCTTCTCTCTCCGGCAACTTGTGCCTCTTTCTTTTCAGTCATGGCAGCGTCCTCGCAACAGAAGGGTCTGCATCGGTGTCTTCCCCTCAACAGGAAGCCCATGAAAACAACTTGAATGAGTTGCTAGATGAAGAGATGGAAGAAATGCCGGAGATTAGGAGTCTTCGAATAGGGAAATGGCCTCTAACATCAAGCGAGGTCACTTTACCTGCTTGGAAGAAGACCCGCATGTCAAAGGCCCTGTGGACACTCTTCTGGAGACAGCCATCACTTAGTGGAGAACCAAGAAACAAACATGCTTAAATATTGGTTACAAACTTTCCTTTTAATGTTGTGATATCAGAAAGTTTCGAATTGATGCAATTGGAAATTACGGTCATCACCTGAAAGTTCCAAGCTATAATGAGTTTAGAAGTCCACTTCTTAAAAAGGAGTTGGAATACGTGAAGGGATTGTTGAGAAGTCATGAAGAAGAACTGGCAAGGAATTGATGCACATAATCTGCATCAGAATCCTCTAAGATTTGAGTATTTACCTTGTACTTATACAACAATCCCTGTCTTGAAGCCCCTTTTACGTACGGAGAATGCCAATCACAACATTCCAACAATCAATGTGACCAACAACTTATCTGCATAAGAAATATAAGGTCTTGTAAAGACACGTGAGGGAGTTTACAACAGCTCATTCACCATGCTCAATCAATTGAACTAGACTCCCTTGACAATCTGACTGACTGATAACTTATTGTGGCAGGGAACTTGATTTACAATTTTTTTAGAAAATTAAAATAGATAACATTTTCCATTTTGGTTCCTAATTGAAAAAAGCTTTCAATTTTGTCTCTATCTTTATAATTTCCAGTGTTGTTTTTGTTGTTTGTTTCTGTATCATATTGTGAGACTGGTATGAAGTATCAACACACAGAGATCATGCTGAAAATGATTGTCATGGTGAAAGTTATAATAGTATTTCTGATCATATAAGAACCAAATGATTGTTATACCTCCGATGGACAACAGTTTGTATCATATAAGAACCAAATTAAAAAGTAATGTAACGAATTATGGCTAAAAATATATTATATCTTCTGTTTTTTGAAATACCCTTATGATGTTGCTCAATAAGAGAACATAAATCAGTGGGCAAGTGAAATGTTTTTATTGTCAAATTATTATCTTTACTCATTGCAGGATTCTGTCAAAACTGCGGGCACAGATATTTCTGGGGAAGGGATAATTGAGATATTCCATAATGATGATGAAGCACTGGATGCTGTGGACAATGGGGTTGTGGTATGTATTTTATTTTATTTTACTTTTGTTTAATTTTTGGGCCATTAGCTTAGTGTGCTTTCTCTTTCTCTTTGCTAGGCAAACAATATAAACCACAGAAATCAATGCATACTCTATTTATTTCCTTGAATTGAGATGCTTATTTCGTTGGCACTGAATTCTTTTTTACTTAGGTAATATCATATCATATGTTGAAATCGCAATACAGATTTAATATCATATGTTGCAAATTTAATAGTGAAAGTACAGATTTTGAAATTGAAAACTTAAATTTCAAATGTTACAGACTGAGTAATAGAAGTTACAGTTTGAAAAGTTGAAGTCTGTCAAATTTTATATTGAAGTTTGTAAATTTTTATGTGTTTTTCACTTTTCTTAATTAATAACTTCTATTATTTACTCTAAAACTCCTATTATTCAGTCTGGAATTAAAAAACAAATAGAAGACTCTCTTTTCAGAGGGATTACTGAATTAAACACTTCTACGCACTTCTCTAATTTTGTTTCAATCTCTGATTTTGTACTTTCCAACTTTACAGAAAGTGAACTAGCTCATTTGGCTGTTTTGGGCTTGGCTTAGCTGAAAGTTGTTTATCAAATTGTAGTTCTGGAGTTTCTACAACATATTTGTCATAGGTTACCAACAACTTTTATAAAAAGCTAATACAAATTTGAAGTCTTGTAGTTGCATGCTAACCAAATTATTGAGGTATATTAATATATTGTTAGATAATGTAGGATTTAGTTGTATGCTTAATTTAATTCTTTATGACATCCAATGGCATAGGTTGTGGATCTTTCACACTTTGGCCGGATAAGAGGTACTTGCTTTTCCTGCTCCATTGCCTCTCTTTACCCAAAGGCAATGAATTTTCTCAGCCATATTGGGATGATATAAAATAAAACTGCTGCTAACAAACAGCTGTAAAAGGGATACTAACAAAAAAGGTAGAAATACCTTTCATTTTAATTTAAGTGAATTGCTTTATATTGTAAAATATCTTTGAGGTAGAATAAATAGGCCAGCTACAGTTTCAGAGAAGAGCCATGCATGACCCATGTTACAAGAGAGTGAGATTTAAGGTTTTCTTAATTTGTTGCTTACCAATACCAAATAACTTTTTGAGAACTTTAGTCCATATAAAATTCTAAAGCTTGGAAAGACCTTGAATGTCCACAGACCATAAGGCTTATCTCCGTGGTCAGAAGGTAAAAGTAGTTCTCCAGTTATTAAGAGTTTGCTCTTGTGTTCAAGTCAGGGGACGTATTAAATGTCTCTAGCTAGCATCAATAGGACTCATTTCAGTTCTGCCGCTTCTCTATCATTCAGCTTTCTCTGGAAATGCAAATTCCTTACACCATAGAGCTCTAACTTCACTAATAGGGGGAAGTCATGGCTTCAATTACTATTAACTATAAGGTGGTAAAACATGTAGCTACTCATTTAGTTGAAGTTTTTATCGAGTATATGTGTAGTATGTATTAGTGCGTTTTCTGATTAAAAAAATTCACTGATTACTCATGGTATAAAAAATTAAGTGTGTGGTAGTAGATGGTTAATTCCAGTACTCAAAATTTCGTGAATGTTGTGTTCATGTGTTGAAAAGGTTGATTCTTGTTCAAATAAAAGAGAAGTTTTATATTGCCACATTTTATCGCCTGCTTTCAATTTCCAGTGGCTGGAGTCTTGATGTTTCCATTTTTCCTTTTGTGATTGGTATGTTGATTATTTAGTTAACTATTAATGAAGTGAGATATAAAACCAATCATGAGGCTTAACATTATAACTTCAGCTATTGGGAAAGCTGGTCTTTCATGGTACCATACCACAGTCTCTATGAGATGTTGAGTTTTGGTACAAGGTGCAGTGGGTTTTGCCTGTCATCTTCAAGGGGCTCTTGGGTGAAGGGGCATGTTAAAAATATTAAACCAATCACGATTTTTCACCTTATCTCTTAGGTTATTTAGAGTTTAGTCCTTGACACATATTATTGTTGTCGTAATTTTACATGCAAACATTTGGGCTCATCTGAAACAAAGTCAGCGGAGAGGATCGCATTCAGTTCCTTCACAACCAGAGTACTGCAAACTTTGAATGTCTACATGAAGCACAAGTACGTGTTGAGAGAATGTAGTGATGTTTCTACATTTATGTATTATTTGCGAGTTCTTGTCAGTTTATTTTTAAGATTTCATATTATAAATTCAGGATTAAGTAACTGGATCTCTAACTGAAATCCATAGGGATGTGACACTGTTTTTGTAACACCAACAGCTCGAACAATAGATATTGCTCATGCATGGATCATGGTAATGTTCTATTCTTCATCCTTCTGATGCTCAGAAAATTTATTAGCAGTTACAATTATCTTAATTATCATGTATCTGACCACATTCTTTCTCTTGTTGCTTTTTGATAGAAAAATGCGGTAACATTAGTGGTTTCTCCAGAGACCTGTAGGACCATTACTGAAATGCTGAACAAGTAGGTAATTTCTGGTTAGTTGTAATGTAAATTACCAACAAAAGTAAAACTAAAAGGATAAAGAGAGAAAACAAATACATAGTTGTTTTTATGTTTTTCCTGATGAGTATTATCAAATACATGAACTAAATTTTTACATGTAATGATTTTAAGGTACATATTTTTGGCTGATAAGGTGGAGATTCAAGACATAACTAAGCAAACCAGCTTTTTTGTTATGGTTGGACCGAAAAGTGGCCAAGTAAGGTACATTATTATGCCTATTTATTGTCAAGATTGACAGTGGTGGTAATTTTCAATATAATGAAATGAGCAGGTGATGGAGAACTTGAACATTGGTGATCTTGTTGGAAAACCATATGGCACACATCAACATTTTAATGTAAGCATGATCCAACATGTTATTTTTTTTAAGTATGTGTGCTATTTCTAGCTGTCTTTCTCATCACCAGTTTCTCTCTGAGATACTGGTCATGTATGTTTAATGATGACGGAATAGTTTTATGTCTGCTTTTATTTATTTTCCCAAAACAACTTACATGATCAATCATGTCTTATTTGCTGGTTTTTAGCTTCATATATATTTTTCTCACAGATAATCTTTTTAATATACGAAATGCTTATATTGGTTGTTAATATTGCCATTGAGCATATATGATGACTTTTGTAATTACAACTTTTGTTTTTGGTGGGGTGGAGTTAGATCTAAACCACTTTGTAAGATGGTACTAGAGCCTATCCTAAATCAATTAAAAAGGCTACTCATTAATTATGCATGTACCCAGCCTAATAGTGTTAGATGTGAGGGTGTATTGGGAAAAACCTTAGTTTCACATTGATTAGAGATAGTACCAAAAATGCAATGTGTAAGGTGGGATAATCCTCACTTTACAAGCCAATTTTGTAAAGTTTCTATGGTTCGTGATTGTTCATGTTTTACATAACTTTCAAAATTTAGAATTGTTAAAGAGGAGTGCTAAAAACACTCTCTTATTGGTTAAAATTATGAAAAACGACAAAATTATGAGTGAGGTTCATTAAACGGTGGGCCTACATGATTTTTGTTGTTTTTATTTAATTTCATTCAACCAATTATAGGTAGGCCATGTATTAAAATGAGTGTGTTGCTGGCATTTCTCGTGTTAAACTTATGTTACTTCTAAAGTAGTTAATTTTAAATAGCAATACCAACAAGAAGTAAATTCCCTTTTCTTCCCAATTGTTTTTCCCGTTTGTTGAAAGCATCAATACTTGCTTAATGTTTTATTATTCTCAGGGACAAGTTCTCAAATATGTTTGTAATTTATAGGTTGATAAGGAGCTTGTAACTATAGGGGTTGGAAACATAATTTCTGAAGGTGGTTTTTCATTACTGATGTCTCCAGCAGCTGCTCCTTCGATTTGGAAAGCAATTCTCACTCAAGGGGCCATCCCAATGGGTTCTAATGCATGGAATAAATTACGGATTATTCGAGGTACTGAATTGTTTAGATATTTTCATATTTTTATTTCTCGTGATTATTTTCTTTTATATATAGTTATATACTGTTTTTGTATGACACCCTTGGAGAAACTTTTATAAATAGTTATATAGATGACTTAGAACAAGATACCAAGGGCATTTAAGAGCTCTATTTGTGGGTGAAGATCATGTTGCACTTTAAATTATATCAACGATGGATATTCCCTTGTTCTCTACCATCCTTTTCCCGTTTGTGCTGTCAATATTGTCATGAAGAGGCAATTCCAAATTTGTTACTTCTTGGTCCATATGCCTCCTTTTACATTGTTGAGGCAATGTTCATACAATAAGGGCATCTTTTGTTGTTTCTCCGTTAAGGAATGTTGATTTTCTGCATTTGGCTAAAGATAAGGTCTCAATGGTAGGAACTATCTTCAGTGGGTCCGATTCATCAAACACACATTGAAGGGTACGAATAGGGTAACCATATTGAAGGGGAGGCTATAACCCTTGATAACCCTAACTTTTAGATTTGGGACATTGATGACTCTTAGATCAAAACATGGCTATGGGGTTCCATGACGATAGAGATTAGTCAGAAATACATGTTGTATTCCACTGCCTGAGAAATTTGGGGTGGTCTAGGAAATACGTACTCTATGAGGAAAAATTTCTCTACTTGCTATGAACTAGAGAGTAAAATATTTAGTGCAGAATAGGGTACTATTACTTTTGTAGACTACTACGGGATCTTGAAGGGCTTATGGATCGAACTAGATCATCAATATGAGAATCTAAAACTTGAAAATAATAGAAATCATCACTCTAGCTCACTTTGTTGAACAATATGGGAGTTTCAAATTCTTGTGAGGATTGAATCCCTCTTATGACCTTGTTAAGGCCCAAATTCTTGGCAAGGACAAGCTTCCCACTCTTTCCGATGTTTAGGAAACTACAACAATTTGATGTGAAAAATGCCTATTTGCATGAGAATCTAGAGGAAGTAGTGTTCATTGCAATCCTGCCTTGATTTGGTGCAATTGAAGGGAGAAATAAGATGTGTAGATTGAAGAAAGTCTTGTATAGACCAATGCAAATTACCTTGAGCTTGGTTTGGGATAATTATTTAGACTATGTTTTCCTTGGGACATGGACAGAGTCAAGGTGATCATACCTTGTTTATCAAACATTTCTTAGAAGGAAAACTTACTTTTCTCTTGGGTTTATCTTCGTGATATGGTTCTTGTCGGAGATGACCAGTGTGAGAAACTAATCTTGAAAGAAGAGCTTATTGCGTAATTTTGCATCAATGATATAGGAAAATTAAAGTTCTTTCTTGGGATTAAATATGCACTCAAGAAAGAGCATTTTTATCTTCCAAAGGAAAAATGTTTTAGACCTTCTCAAAGAAACACATAAGATTGATTGCAACACAACTAGTAAGTTATGGGAATCATGCTAGTGTGTTTATAGGTACTTGTGTGATATTTGATCATGCCATGTCAGTATTTGTAAGTACTAGAAATTTTCAAGCTTATACTATTTGTCTTTGGGTTGAATGGCATATTTGTATTTGATAATGGAATTGGGAAAAAACTTATTGAAATGAAATAATTTGGCGTGTGAGTAATTTATTTATTTATTTTTCATTTTTCCTGTTTGTGTGTTTATATTTAGTTTCACTCCCTATGATTCTTACTTTTGATCATAACTTGACTTCTTAGGTAGGCCCGCCCCTGGAATGGAACTTACAGATGAATTTAATGTCTTGGAGGCCTGTCTATGGAGCTCAGTTTCTCTAAATAAGGGTGTGTAACTGGTCTGCCCATCTGCATAAAATGTTGAAACTTGCTGGATAGTTAGTCTGAATATGAATTTCAGGTTGTTACAAGGGACAGGAGACTATATCTAGGCTCATTACATATGATGGAATCAAGCAGAGGTTATGGGGAATTCATCTTTCTGCTGCGGCAGAACCTGGCAGCATTATCACAATTGATGGGAAAAAGGTGCTATATAATTTCTTTTGAAAAATTTTCACTATATTTTTCTTCAATCATTATGTATTTTGTTAACGAGGAAGGAAACTTCCACAAAGTAATCCCTGTTGGAAACTAAAAATGACAGTTATGTGGTGAAAACTCCAGTTACAACGTTTCCCTGGATATCAAAGAAATGGATAACTAATAGTAGTTCCCTGAGTCAGAGCATAGTGTTTGTGACGTTGGATTGCATCCTATAATCTTATTTTCTCCTTGAATAGGTTGGAAGAGAATTGATGGTTTTTTCAAGTTGTGCAGGTTGGAAAGTTGACTAGCTACACACCCGGAAGGAAGCAATCCGAACACTTTGGCTTAGGTTACATCAAGAGGCGAGCTGCCTCGGAGGGAGACGTTGTAGTTGTTGCAGACAACATCAAGGGAACAGTGGTGGAAGTACCATTTCTTTCTCAGCAATGCCCACCATCTGCTAGTTGAACTTCCTAATTATAAGGGCATGGGATGCAGATATCATTATCGTGCATGTGTTGTGCGATGATTGGTGTTGTTGAAGAAATGCATGCATAGTACTAGAAATTTTGATAAACTGTTGTAGAAGGTTTTTGGTTATCTTTATCATATTTGCTTTTAATTTATGCATCTTAGCACAACTGGTCATTAGCACCAATCTTTGATAAGATTACATCTTATGCTTCATTTCTTTTTCTTGGATGTTGCCTATTTTTCCAGGATACTCTCAAACGACCTTTCTAATGGCCCACTAGAAGAATTAGGGTTGTTGTTTATTGTATACTTATAATTTCAACCTGCATTCTTATCATTTAAACGTACACTTTGGGAAAGATCATACTACCTTTCTATTTTGTTTCAAACTGCGGCACTTTCTCCCTGGATGATATGGGAGCTATACTCTCCGATTGAGGTATCCGAAATTGTGATAACTACAAAATTTAAGTTGAGGGATGATGTGTTCCAGAATGCAAAATTTAAGTGGACTTTCAACTACTGGTTTGCTTTCCCCTCTTATGCTTGATCCTCCTGCAACTATGGTTTATCTGAAGCCAACATCTCAGTGGTTCAATGTAGAAGATGTGTTCAGTGGAATGCTGGGTTGAATTCCTCGTTGACGGAGTTCTTCATCAGTACGGATTTCAATTCCCAATTTGTGTCCATGTCTGCTAAACCAAAGGAGTCTCCTTTCGCCAATTAAGACTACAGCAGCAGCCCTCTGACTAACAACAGTCCAAAGAGAGAGGTTCTCGCGTCATTGTTTCTCGGTCAAAATGCAACCATCGTTCCTTTTCACCAATCAGCTTTCCACTGTACATATAAAAAGGAAGTAATTTTATTCTGTTGGTGCTGTTCTCTTCTATACTTCAGTTAAATATTAATTATTTAATAAAAAACCAAACACTTGATTTTCTTAAGTTTAATATGTTGAAAAAAGGAGTTATAAGTTTTTCAACTACTAATCGTTTAAGAAATCAGTTTTCAACCACTCGGTTTGAAGAACTTCAATTCCATTCTTAATATGTACAACCTTGTGTGCTGTTAATTTACTAATATATACATAAAAGCACATCAGCAGTGAAATGCGACTTCTCTTGATATTATAAAATAAAAGTTAAAAATTGCATTCTTAATATGTACAACCTTGTGTTATGTCCAATCCATGCGTTCTCGTTCATGTCTTGTTTGACCAAATCTTTCAGTTTGCGGCGGTTTGGTTGAAAATTGCATGCCGGAAACATCTTCCACCTCAATCTCTAACATAATATATAATTTTTTCAATATAAGAATACAAATGTTTTAATTGATTTTTTATTGTTTAATCTCAATAAATTAAAAAATATATAAATATAATTGGTTGGTTGGATTGATAAAAATAAAAATATCATATATTTTTATTATTGGTCGGTTGGATTATACTTAATACGAGTTATATAGATGTAATTTGATATTTCTAACTTTTGAAATGAATACCATTTCTCTCTCTCGCTCTCTCTATCTATCTCTCTATAATAATAATAATAATAATAATAATAATAATAATAATAATAATAATAATAATAATAATAATAATAATAATAATAATATATCTCAATAGTTTATTTCTATAGACACAAGTATAGGGTTTAACACGATTAAAGTCATATAATGTAGTAAAAAATAATACAATTTTAGCGCTTATAATATTTGCTTTTGTCACATAACATATCCTTTTTTTCGCAGTCGCCCCTTGAATTCTCCATCGCACCACCTGAAGCATAAAGCCTTCGCACACCTGATTCTAGTCATTTGGTTTCGTTCGCTTCTCCCTTTGGTTTTAGGCACCAACTTGGCCTTAGTTGTGTCGTTGCTGTTAAAAATGAAGTTATGCCCCAAGATGTTAGACACTATTGATGTGCATCAAACAAATAAGTGTGCATCCCAAGCACATTAGCAGAAACAAAATATCCAACTTAATCGAACTCATGAACATGGAGTCCATTATTATGATTTTGATCTTTTTGGTAGCATCAGATCCAGGCTTAGCAGCACCCTCTCCCTCTCCTTCTCCCACCATTTCCCCCACTGACAATTCAACATGCCCAGTGCCCATGAATTATGTTCAAACAGTTCCTTGGAACATCTCTTCTTGCCATAACTTCCAACCCTTGCCATCCCAATACCAAACAAGCACAAGTCCTTGCTGCCAAACCCTCCTATCCCTCTTTGGCGTAGCACTTGCACAAAACCTCAAAGAAAACTCTCTTTTCCAACTCCCCAACCTCCCTACCTCTATCTCTTGCCTCCAACACTTCCAATCTAATCTCACATCCCTCTCACTTCCCAACAACCTTGTCTCCTCCTGCTTTGATCCACATCAATTTGTCATCACTCCCAACATCTGTGCTCGTATGCAGAACATGGAAGATTGGCTCACCAGGCTTGGTTCTACACCACAGCTCGACACTGCATGTAAACCAGACCTCACTGATCGAAACCAATGCAACAAGTGCGTGGCTGAGGGGTACAAGGTTCAGCAGAAGCTTAGTGCCATTGATGGTAATGAATCACATTCCCAAGATTGCTTTTACTTCACAGCACTTTACATGGCTGGAGTTGCCAATGAGTATGGCCCTGAGAGCAAAGGTGCTTTGTCTTGCATTTTGATTTTGTTGGTTAATTCACAAGTTGATTCAAGGGGTAGCCGTCGTGCTCTTGTGCTTGGTTTGATTGTAGCTTCACTTTCAGTCCTGGTAATCATACTGTTAGGATTAGGTTTCTATTTTTGGTACACCAAGAGAAGAAGTGTCGAAAATTTGCTAGCCTATTCTGATCTACAGGAACAAAGCTTCAGCCTAAGGCTGAGACCAAATACAGTGCTAACTTGGTTTGAATTTGAGGATCTTGTGAGGGCCACCAACAATTTTTCAACGCAGAACTTTATTGGCAGAGGTGGGTTTGGGTTGGTTTACAAGGGCATTCTACCTGATGGCACAATGGTTGCGGTGAAAAGGCTTGAAGAATCCGATTCTCAAGGAGATGCTTTGTTCTACAGTGAGGTGGAGATTGTTAGCAACTTGAAGCACCGTAATCTGGTGCCACTAAGAGGGTGTTGTGTGGTTGATGAGGAGGATGAGAATCACAATCTTGAATACAGAAGAAGGTTTCTAGTTCATGAATATATGCCAAACGGAAGCCTTGCAGACCATCTTTTTCCAACCAAATTAGATAATGAAAATACAACGAAATCCCTGACTTGGCCTCAAAGAAAAAACATAGTCTTGGATGTGGCAAATGCTTTGGTTTATTTGCACTTTGGTGTTAAACCTGCAGTGTATCACAGAGATATCAAAGCCACCAATATACTACTTGATGCAGATATGAGGGCGAAGGTTGGAGATTTTGGGCTAGCCAAATGGAACAGTGAAAGTAGGTCTCATCTAAATACAAGAGTAGCTGGAACTCGTGGATATGTAGCACCTGAATATGCACTCTATGGTCAGCTAACTGAGAAGAGTGATGTCTACAGCTTTGGAGTGGTTGTTCTTGAGATAATTTGTGGAAGAAAAGCCCTTGAGTTTTCTTCATCAGGGACACCGGTTTTCTTGATTACTGATTGGGTTTGGTCATTGATGAAATCTGGGAAGATAGGAGAGGCTTTGGATCCTTCTATGTTAGGAGATGGAAATTCTGCTAGAAACATAATGGAGAGGTTTTTGCTGGTTGGAATTCTTTCTTCTCATGTAATGGTTGCTTCAAGGCCAACAATTTTGAATGTTTTGAAGATGTTAGAAGGGGATATTGAGGTTCCATCAATTCCAGATAGGCCACTGACTCATGGGCACTATGTGTTGTATAATGGTGATTGCTCTGGGATAAGCTCAGGATGTGGTTTTGTGAGCTCATGAAAAGTTAAATGTTTCAGAATCCATCCTTGATGAGTTGGACGAGACAGTGTGGAGCACTCATGGGGAGAAGCTGAAGGATGTGCACGGCAAGATACCAAGATGTCATGCTCTTTGAGACGAGTGCACCTCTTGTTGGCAGGTCTTGCTATGTGGGATTTTTATGACAGGTATTTGCAAGAAAGAGATCAAGGTACAACTCTATGGATAAGCAGTTATAATGTTTCATTGTAAATGTTCGATGACCACCTAAACTGACAGTTCAACAATACTGAAAAACTATTTTATCCATATATTAGAGTAGAAGTTCCAGAGGAAAGTTCTGGCCTAAGGGTAAATTGTACTTTGATAACCTATTAAAAGAAAAGATAAAAAAGATATTCAGGAAGAGAAAACTGTAGTTCTATTTCTTAATTCAAACAGTACAAGATGTTAATTTATAGAGTACTCTACAACATCTCAAGTACCATACTAATAATTACAACACTTCAACTACGTAATATCTCAACTATTCAGCATCTCAACACCTCAACTACCGTAGTAATAATTAATGCAACTCTTGTAAATCAAATGAAATATTTTTGTAACTCAACACTTCCCCTTTACCTACGGAATACATATCGATCATTCCCAGCTTTATGTAAGATCATGAAACTATTCTAAGGGAAGTCCCTTTGTAAACAAGTTTGCAAGCTGAAGTTTTTATGGGATGTAGGAAGTAGTGTTAAGGCCAGAGTCTAGTTTTTCTTTGATAAAATGTTTGTCAATCTTTATATGCTTGGTTTTACAACGTTTGACTGGATTGTGAGCAATACTAATTATTGTTTTATTATCACAAAAGAAATTCATAGGTTCTTCATATTAAACTTTGAGACCCTTTAGAATAATTTTCAACCATAACAATTATATACACCCTTTGTCATAGCTCGAAACTTAGCCTCTGCACTATACATTACAATCACATTTGTTTCTTACTTCAAGTTACGAAATTTCCACACAGGAACATACAATATCTTGAGGTGGGCTTCCTATTAGTACAAGAATTAGTATAATCTGCATCAATATACATCTTTATATTTAATTTTCTATCCTTCTTAAACAACAATGCCTTTGGTGGACTTGTTGAAGGAATTTATTTACAGTTAGTAAGAGTCACTCTCTTGGACACACTCACAACATAATCTATGTCTGGTTTGGTGTGAGCTAGATAAATGAGTTTTGTGAGAGTCTCTAATATTAACCCTTACTTACAGTAGAACTCCCTTCATCACTCCCCATTTTGTGATTTTGTTCTATAGGTTCTCTAGTGACCTTTCAATCAATCTTACTTGTTTTTCTAAGAAGGATAAAACATTTCCGTTGGGAGATAAAAAATGCCCTATTTTGAGTAGGTAACTTCAATCCCAAGGAAGTACTTTAACTTTCCTATATTCTTCACGTCAAACAAATTAGAAAGTTTTTTTTCAATTTCTCATTCTCACCATCTCAAACAATTATCATATCAACATTGACAAGGAGGAAAGTAGAGTCCCTTCAAAGGAATGTTTGATTAATAAGGTATGATTACCTTGACTCAGTTGATATCTCAAGGAACACATAGCCTGTGTTAGCAGTATAAAAGAAGAGAAGAAACAGAGCTTGCTTTTGGCAGTACGAATTGTATATTGAAGGAGAAAAAACTGAAGCATATATTTAATACTGGAAACATTACAATTTATAATTCTTAAAGAATAACTTCTCACTAACAACATGGTCCTGAGAGTAAGCCATGCAACGGGTCAATGAAACACCTTAAACTTCATAGCTGATTCCTTAAAACTAGGATAACAACAATAAATAATAACAAAATAACATAAACTGAACATGGGTTTGTTTCAGTCCTGGAGCACTCTCTCAACATTTTAAGTCCATATAAGGCTTTCTTCAGCCTACACACCTTGTTCAAATTGAGTTACTTTATTTGTTTTTATAGCTCAATAGTGGAAGAATTATGATCACGTAACTCTAGATTTACAAGAACTAGCAATCAAGATTTTAAGCTTAACATGTAGCTCATCGGAATGTGAACGTAATTAGATTGTATTTGAGCAAGTAATAATTGTTCATAATTCATTTTATTGTTATTTCTGATAAGAAAGTAGAAAGAAACTAACTATTATTTTACTTATTCATAATGTAGATTCATTCAAAAAGGAGAAATAAACTTGATCATAAAAAGTTGCATGATTTAGTTTACATGAAGTATAACCAACAACTTACTCAAAGATACATTATTAGAGATTAAATTGTTCCTATTGTATTCAATGACATTGATGAGTGCAAAGAGTAGTTAGTAGGGCAAGTAGATGATAATGATAACAAAGATGGGGATGAGTTGTCTTTTTATGATGATCTTACTCTTAATTATGCAATTGTTTATGGAGCTTCAGGTGTTGGAACACCAAGAATCTATACATGGAGAAAAACAAACAATAAAAGAAAGCAACCATCAAGTGAGGGTATTGTTATTAGATCTTCCCAAGCTTCTAGTAAGGATCATGTACAACTTTGGCCTCAACACAAACGAGAGGCAAAGAAAAGATTAAATTTGGGATTAAGAATGAATTGTAATTTGATAGCTTTAACTGAGTTTAAAGAATTTTTTGACTATAACAAGTATTTCTCTGAAAGGAAAGAGGAAGAAGCACCGAATTAAGTGGGGATTAAGGAACAATTAAATGATAAAAAATTTAGGACATTTATCTTATGTATTGTTGTTATTTTAACTCTTGGAATTTGCAATTGAAATTCTAAACTTGTCATTATAATTAATTATATGATTGTCTTTCATTTTTTTTATTTCAATTATATTCATGCATTTTATTTATTTATTTATTCATATGTATATATTATGTATTTTTGTCCGCAATGCTTCTATTGATATTTTCCGTTACTTGGTATTGATAACACTGTTTTACATCAAATTTTTGTAGTTCCCAAGCCAAATTTGCTACCAATGAGAGGATGATCTAATCTTATACATTTTTGCCATAGTAGCAAATGTTTTCTCACAACCAACACTGCATGTGAATGTTTTAAGTTTCTGCTTTCTGTCAATGGCAGTTTGTTTCCTATCACAGCTTATGATTTTGCACTCTCCTCTTTATCTTCTATGTCCATTTTTTCACTATTTTTCTTGGACCACTAGGGTGCCAAACGAATAGTTTCTGAGTGGCCAGACCTTGATTTCGAGGCAAGAAGATTCACAGCATGAATTTTAGGTGATGATGAAGAATCAGAATGAATACAATCCCCCAATCAAACCAAGCAATTAACTATTGAAGATTCATCGAATGAGGACACCAAATACAGGGCCGAGTTATGACCAAAAGACAGATGTTGTGCAAGTTGAAATATATGATCCTTGCAACAGTTTGTCACCCTGTCGCATCATGACTTCTTTCCACCCAACCAATGCCTGTCTGATATATTGCCTCCATGTCTAAGCACAAATATGATAACTACTGTGAGTGTAATGAAGATTTGCAGAAGAAAATTTTAGTTAATGTTTTCCTAGCTTCAATTTGATGGTGACTGTTGACATAGTAACCTATCAGGCCATCTAAGTTCTTTAATGTTATATACCAGCAATCATCCCCCAGTTTTTTTTTTTTTTTCAAGATAATTGTTTAGTCCAATGCGAATATTGGTGGATTTTGGAATGTCAAATAGGACAGGGATAGTGTTAACTTGTTACAGGTTTTCTTTCAGCATCAAAATTAGTGTTGGTGACCAAAAGAGAGAACCATATTACTAACTATAATTGAAGCATGGCCTTCCAATAATTGTCTGCCATAATCTCCTTTTTTTTGGCGCACCAAATCTTTTCTTTCTGCGCATCTGTCTACATCTCATAACCATCTCAAATTTCTTTTTCATTCATGCTCAAACAATCTCGTATTCATTGACTTTGAATAATATTTTTTTTTTCGAATTTTATTCTTATACGATAATTTACTACCGGGTATGGAAATCTTACATTTATTATAAATCTCATCCCTTTATAATGTAAAAAATGAAAGCATCACCTTACAGATAAGTTTTTATAACACTGAATTAGATTTAAAATTTGCTTTATAAGATAACTTTCATTATAGACCCTTGTTGAACACTTAATAACATGGAAATGTCATAATCCTCTTGATTCTTTATTTTTATTTTATTTTTGTATAAAAATTACATTCTTACATGGTTATTATAAACTTGAAAATAATGTGTTATTTTTACTAAAAAATTAATTTATTCTTTAATATATGATTTAATGGGAACGTGTAGTTTTTTTGTTTTTTCATTAAAAGTTCACTTGTCACCATAAATGTTCTCTCACTATCGAAAATATCTGTATCTATTTTGCAATTTGATACATGATTTGGTCATGAACTATGGAAAATGACAATTTAAAGAATAAGAAATACCCAGCAACAGACCTCACAAAGTGACAAAGAAAAGAAATCATATATATGATCTAGACAAGTCAAGTGTGTGGCCACCAACAAAAACAAATCATGATATGAATGTTGTTACAGATCTTCTAAATAAAATGAACATGGTCTTAATTTTTGTGTCAATTATACGTAGAACTAGCCATTCACCTTGGACCATGATGAGTCCATATCAGAAGAAATAACATCATCAGTGTACTTACTTGAATACTCTCAACCAAAAAAGATTATTAGTGAGGGAAAATTAATTCTTAAAACAGGACTAAAATCCATGAATATATGGTTTCCTGCATCCTCAGAATCAGCTAAACTGTGGGGAAAAGCAATATATATAAGTGTTGTCCTTTCACATAGATTAGTTTGATTTTGCTTTGGTGCATTGTCCTTTCGTTAAAACTGAACCATTCAAGTGGCTATTCTTGATGTGTGCAATGATTTGGTGAAAATAAATCTATACAACAAAAGTCAGAGAAAATTGAAGTCAACCTTGTTGATGTTATGAAAATACCTCTTGGCTGTCGG